ACCTGCGACGCCGTCGACCACTCGAGGGCCTTGGTGAGCCAAAGTGTGGGGACGTTTAGCCTCGCATTGGAGTGTAGGGAGGTCCTCACTAACTTCCAAACGAGGATCGTGTCCTCAAAAAAGAAGCTGGCCTTCACAGAGGAGGAGTTGAAGAGATTAAGGGCCGAGGCAAAGGAGACAAAGGCCTAAAGAGTTGAAGAGGCTGCCAAGTTGGAATCTGCCTTGGCCTAAATAGAGGCCTTGAAGAAGAAGGAGGTATACGAGTCTTAGTGTGAGGTGGCCTCCCTCACTAAGAAGGTGAAGACATCAAATAATCATGAGAAGGTCACTGTTGAGGCCCTGAAAAAAACAAACCTTGAGCTTGTTGGGGCCAAGGATGCATATAACTTCTTGAATGACCAAATAAAATGGCATGTCGATGAACTGGCCAAGGCAAGGGAGGCAGCCAAGGTGGCGGGAGAGGAGGCAGTTAAAGAGTTCATTGCCAATTTCCACAACACCGAAGAGTACCGAAGCTTCAGCGCATACTCGAGGAACTTCGACTATGCTGAGGTGATGGAGAGAGCCGATGAGCTTTATCTGGGCTACGACCTGACCCAACTTAGGTCTAAGTTTGTGGATGAGGTGACTCAGACTCTAGCTGAGGAAACAGTAGAGGAAGAAGCAGCAAAAAGAACAGAAGAGGGGTCTGAAGCTCAAGCTGCTAAAGCTCATGCACTCCCTCCATCATTCGAAGCTTAGTATAAGATCCTTTTCAGTTTATATCAATGTACTGGCTTTGAGCTCTCTTGTAATGTTTTCAGTATCAATGAATACTATTTTCTAACATTTTGTTTTCTTTTCAATATCAAGTACGTGGATCTCGGTAAATAATCAAGAATAAGTTTGAGTTAACAATCCGAACTTGACATCTTAACTTCCATCACTTGAAATAATCAAGCAATATAAATGATGACTTAATGGGTTGCACTTGGGTTCCATCATTCAAAATAAACCACTATGTCCAAGTTGAATGAAGTATCCAATGGACCTTTCCATTGAGTTCGAGTTAGGGAGATAAAACTATGGTGGATGAGATATGCATGTAGATGCTTTTTCCTTTGGCGTTCAGCCTCACCAAAGGGAGGCATGTCGAGTGAGCTTCGGAGCTTAGGCGAGGTGACCCCAGAGTTGGGAATCAAGACCTCTCCTCCGATGCTTCCACGCTTTTCTACATGGTGGATGATGCAGCCATGTAGAGGCTTTTTTCCTTTGGCGTTCAGCCTCGCCAAAGGAAGGCATGTGGAGTAAGCCTCGGAGTTCAGGTGAGGTGATCCCAAATTTGGGAATCAACCTCTCCTCCGAGGCTCCCACTTTTCCATACATGGTGGATGGTGCAGCCATGTAGAGGCTTCTTTCTTTGGCGTTCAGTCTCGTCAAAGAGAGGCATGTAGAGTGAGCCTCGAAGTTCAGGCGAGGTGACTCAGAGTTGAGAATCCAAACCTCTCTTCTGAGGCTCCCACGCTTTCCTATATGGTGGATATTGTAGCCATGCAGATGCTTCTTCCTTTGACGTTCAGCCTCGTCAAAGGGAGGCATGTAGAGTGAGCCTCGAAGTTCAGGTGAGGTGACCCCAGAATTAGGAATCATGACCTCTCCTTCAAGGCTTCCACGCTTCCCTACATGGTGGATGGTGCAGCCATGTAGAGGTTTATTTCTTTGGCGTTCAACCTCGCCAAAGGGAGGCATGTGGAGTGAGCCTCGGAGTTCAGGCGAGGTGACCCCAGAGTTGGGAATCAGGATCTTTCTTCTAAGGCTCCCACGCTTCCCCACATGGTGGATGGGAAGCCATGTAGAGGTTTCTTCCTTTGGCATTCAGTCTCTCCAAAGGGAGGCATGTGGAGTGAGCCTCGGAGTTCAAGCGAGGTGACCCCAGAGTTGAGAATCAGGACCTCTCCTCCGAGACTCCCACGTTTTAAGAGGTACCTAAATTTTAATGACATTTTACTGGGGCTAAAGATTAATTACATAAGCTGGAAAATATTGTCCAGCGATGCAGTACATTCATTGGTAGTAAATTCTGAGACGCTCAATGTTCCAAGGACGAGGCTGTGCCTTACCATCCATGTCTTCAATTCTGTAGGTGTCGGGTCGGAGTTTTTCTTTAACTTTGTAAGGACCTTTTCAGTTTGGGCCTAAGGTACCTTCTACAGGTCCTTTAGAGGAGAGGAGACCTCTCCTAAGGACCAGGTCATTGATTTGGAAGGACCTCTTCTTCACGTTGGAATTGAAGTATTTGTTCATTTTCCTTTGGTAAGCAGCGAGCCTCAGCTGGGAGTCATCTCTTCTTTCATCAATGAAGTCGAGGTTGAACCTCCGTAGCTCGTCATTAGATATTTCGTTGAAGTGTAAGTGACGCGGTGATAGTAAGCCGACCTTGATTGGGCTCATGGCTTCGGTTCCATAGACCATGAGGAAAGAAGTTTCCCTCGTTGGAGTTCCGGTGGTAGTTCAGATCACCCAAAGCACTTGAGGCAGCTCGTTAACCCAGGCTCCCTTTGATGCATCCAGTTTCCTTTTGAGGACATGTTTGATCGTCTTATTTACAACCTCAACTTGGCCATTGGCTTGAGGATAATGAAGCATTGAGAAGTGTTTTTTGATTCCAAGTTCTTCGCATAGGTTTCTGACCTTCTTATTTTGGAACTGCCTTCCATTGTCTAAAACTATAGAGTGGAGAATTCTGAACCGGCATATGATGTTCTTCCAAAAAAACTTGGAGGTGTTTGCTTCTATGATTTTTGCCAGTGGTTCGACCTCAACCAACTTCGTGAAATAATCAATGGCCACAATGGCGAAGTTCACGTCTTCTCTGCCTTTATGTAAGGGACCTATCAGGTCCACGCCCCACTAAGCGTCGAATGAAAAGCTCTACATTTCACAGCTAGAGTGGCACCTCGAAGGCTCATATGAGTTTTATATATGCTTAGGTGTTTCTCCGGGTCACCTCTCCCGTCGTACTTTGGTATTTTGGGCATCAGATAGTATCTCGAAACCTGGGCATTTTTCAGTTCCCTTGAAAATGGGAGATTTTCATCGTTGTTGTCCAAGTAACAGGACCTCTGCTGCTCATCTAAGTCATTGTTCTCTTCGACCTCATACCTGGGTGGTTGATGAGAGGGTCCAGCTTGAGTCCTAGCCTCCTCTTCCCTCATTTGGCACCTATTTCTAGGCGGAGCAGCACGGGAGGGCATTTTCATGCCTTTCCTCCGGCTGATGAGTCATTGAAGGTGGGGGGCTGTGGTCTATTCTGAGGTTCTTGTTGCTGTTGCCTGTGCCTCGATTCCGCGGGGCTAATTCTGTCAAAAATGCTGTTAGACCTCCTCGGTCTTTGCTTTGGCTCATATGCTGGTGGAAAGTTGTGCTGGTTATATCAAGCATCGATGGGTTGGTCTGCAGCATAATTGGAAGAAATATCAACTTTAACTTCCCTCTCCATGGGACTTATGCCTCAACTGTATTCTAGTGATACAACCCTTTGGCTTTGGACTTCCTCATCTTGTTGGTAATATCCTTGGGGTGCATGGGGGGGGGGAATAGAGAAGTCGCCCTAGCTCTGCATTTGGGCCATGAGTTCTCTCATGGCCATGTTTTGCCTGGCAATGTCCCTCATGCTTGCGACCATGGTGGCAATCTCTCTTGATAACTGAGCAGCTATCCACATGCCACCTCTTCTATGGTAGTGGTGAGGTCAATACCGAGTTGCAAGGACAACTGCCGGTAGGGGCATTCCCACATTTTCTCTTACCCTCATAGGGGGTACATCCTCGTTTGAACTCATTCTCTTCTGCTCCAACTTCAAATTGTTGTCAGGTTATGGGGCTTCTACTTGTTCTTTTCCAAAAACAAATAATTTTCCAAGGGAGATCTTTAAGTATTCTTTTCGATAAGCTTTCTTCACACGGTTGCTCATGGTTATAGTATGGTTTTTCACAGACAACGTCAATTTGTTGACCCCAGAATATGTTACCAATAGATATCAGACCCACCCGCGCACACGTAAGCTTGGTCCAACACGCTAAGACACGTGAATGGTCTAGAACTGGTAGTAAAAATGGGGTGTGGGAACGGCTCAAAGGCACGGGATGAGAACGTTCGGAATCCGACGAGATATTTTCATAATGATTGAACAATAATTACCAATTGATGTCTGTAGAATGCATGTATGAATTCATGTTTATTGCAAGAGAGTAAAATGTAAATAATATTATATTTGTTTTTGTGTTGAATCTTGCATCCCCTTGTGAGAGATGCATGGGGGAGTATTTATAGTACTACAACTTAGATCGTGGTCCTTGGTTGGAAGTACACGTGGCCTCATCTCGTAAGTTTACATGTTAAATTATAGGTATCACATTTGACTTCCTAGCTTGTTACACATTTATTAATTGGCGGCTTTGCCACTACATTGACAAGATAAGACGCCTACACTCTATGATGAGTGTCCCATTAATCAATCAGAAAGGATCCTTGTGTAAGATCGGATCTTTGGGTAGAAGTGCTGTTTAGAGCCTCAGGACCTCGGAGAAGATTGGACCTTGGAGAGGAAGGGCCTCGACTACAAGATCACCTCGGCAATTTAGCTTCGGCGTCAACACTTGGGCCATGTCTGGCCTAGGAGCCTTGGATAAGATGCCATGTGGTTCGGAAGAAGTGGGCCATGGACCTAGTGGGTCGACTAAGTGTGTCAACACGTAACAAAATTCACTTCTAGTCTTCTAATCTCTCATTCCATAGGATGCCTTGACCCCCAATTCAGTGAAAGAAAAGAAAGAAAGGATTTTGTTCAATGGGGAGTCTCTTCTATGTCGTATGTGTGTATATGCCATGATTCATTCGCTGATAGACCCACTTATCAGCATTCAGTAGACTTAGGGCGATTTTGTTCTCTCTTTTTTATGTGTGTCTACAGGAGGGAATTTGATATATGAAAACGAACAGCCGAGCAATTGGAAAAATATATGAATTTTTCTATCTCTTTTCCTCGCAATCAGACACCTGAAAATGCTCACGGTGGTACTTCTCAGAACTCTAACCCTTACTTTGATTCAACCAGAAAAGGGAAAGTTTCAGATATGGAAATGCAGCTCCGGAAACTAGCAGGGAGCAGAGCTCCTGGAATAGATGATGCAAAGAGGGAGCTTTTCAAGAAGGAGATCTCGAACATGACAATTGGGATTGATGTGTTATCAGTTTTTAGCGAAATGGTGATGTGCTCGGCAACCACGGATTTAGTGCTAAAAAAGATGTGTTACTTATATGTTGGGGATTATGTTAAGTACAATCCAGATCTCGCACCCTTGACAATTAATTTCCTTCAAAGGGATTGCAAGGATGAGGATCCAATGATTCGTGGTTTGGCTTTAAGGAGTTTGTGTTTGCTTCGTGTCGCAAATTTGGTGGAGTATTTGGTGGGGCCGTTGGGTAATGGGTTGAAGGATGGAAATAGCTATGTGCGGATGGTTGCAACTGTCGGGGTTCTCAAGTTGTATCATATTTCGTCTTCGACTTGCATGGATGCTGATTTTCCAGGTATGCTCAAGCATTTAATGCTTAACGACAAGGATGCTCTGGTAAGCTTCTTACATGTGCTTTTATGTGCTTATAAATATATCTTCTTATGGATGCTGCTTCTAATGTTTAAATTATTGGCCATCATATGTTGCAATATTATAATTTTAAAGAATCTTATCATATAAACCTCACCAGAGTACATAAATCTATTACCTTGCTAATTATTAAATTTCCTCCTTTTGTTTCTTGTGGTAGTTGCAAACTGTTTAACTTCTCTACAAGAGATCTGGGGTCTGGAAGCAAGTACATCTGAGAAAGTGGAACGGGAGAGAGAGAACTTGAATAGCAAGTCAGTGGTATTCTACTTTCTAAACAGGTATGTAACTGGATCATTGTTCGTAGCATAAATTTCTTTTTTACAATTGGTAGTCAATATATATAGCAACACTGTTGCTTAATTTACCGTTTACCAAATTCCATATGGGGTAAGTTTTTCCTTATATTTACATTACTTCACCAGATTCATCCCTTTTTTTTTGCCTTGTCAAAAAAAAGATCCATGTTGGTTAGCTTATATTATTTGAGAACAGTAGAAAAGCTTCCGTCGTTTCCTTTCGGAGATGATGAAAATTGCTCGATGACACAGAGGCATTTTGCCCTCTCAGTCTCTTCGCAAAAACTTTTTTTCTCATATTTTATCTCCTTTTCTCGTCTTCTAATTGCTGTAACATCCGTTTCTTCGTGTATCTACACATAAAATGATAAAAATTAGTACCATTCCTGCAAATCTATAAGCTCCTCTTAATATTTCAACATGTAATAAATACTAATATAACCTAGATGTAGTGCTATACTTGTGTTTGAGAATAGAATATTCACCTGTCGTCATGGATATAGAAAATACATTATGTATCTGAGATACAGATAATTAATGAAAGTTTCTTGCAGCCGCCATACATATTCACTGATAAGGAACATAGAGGGCCATTTGCATTCTCTGAAGAACTTGGTAATCTGTCTATTGACACAGAATTGGCAGATACCTACCTGGCTTAGGATTGCCAATTGCGCCTAGTCCAACTCCTTCGCCTCCAGCTTTCAAGCTTAATGCTAAAGCTGTTCTAGATCCCAACAGTTTTCAGCAGAAATGGTGCCAACTTCCAGTAGCCGCATCACAAGTTAATATTCATAGCTTGACTTGTATTAATTAGTTTTCCTTGTGACTCGTGAACTTTGCTTCTGTGCCAATTTGCATACACATTTCTCTTTCAGACTTCAGATTATGTGCACCATATATAGGG